GAGCCAAAACATGTGAACATGTGAAGAGAGGCGAAAATGGTGTCATTTGAACTGCCCCAATTTGGGGCTGGGGTTTTGTGCTGAGTTACATTATTTACTAGTATTTTTGTTTTGTGTGTGTTTGTTTGTTTTGGTTTAAGTTTTGCAACCCGGATTTATGGTGATCCTTCTTATTTCTGCCTCCCTAGTGCTGGGAGTGCAGGTGTGTGCCACCATGTCCGGACTCCATCGCCGCCTCAGGGATCCTGGGGGCAGGGCTGGAGAGGCACGCACTGCCAGGGATTGAACCCTGGCCCCTGAGCTTACCTAACTAAGCGCTTAGTCCGCTGAGCTATATTGCCAGCCCTAATCCTTTACTAGTCTAAGAGATACCTTGAATGCTTTTAATCTCTGAAGCTATGCGTGGGCTCTTTCCACCTAGAGTAGGAATAACAGGATGGACATGGAGGGATTCCAGCCCAGCAACAGGAAGTAACCAATCAAAGGGAGGAAGGGAACCGCGCCTCGGCGGCGTCTACCATGTGCCAGGCAGTGTGCCTGGTGTTCTCTCCCTAACGGCCCTGTCTGCCCTGCATTTTATGGAGGATAAGACTGATGTCAGAAAACATATTTATTAATAATCAACTGTATCTTCGACTTTAAACTTTTTCACTTTACTAAAACATACTGAACAGGGGAGGCAATATTTTTCTCGATGTTTACAAAGTCAATAAACAAAACAGGTTTCCATGTTGGCGTGTGTGGAGGCACCAAGGGGAAGGAGAGCCGAGCCGGAGAGCTCACTAATCCATATTTCTGTTCAAGGTTGAGGCACCCAGCTCCGAAGGTATTCTTGTTCACACCGTGACGCTAAATCCTGATGGAAGATATTCTTTCAATGTTTCTGACTTCAGGATTCTTCTGATACAAGTGGGGAGAGCTGTGGGGTCGGCCACGTGCCGCGGACCCGGGGCTGGAGCGCGCAGCTTGGCACAGCGACAGGGTGCTGCGAACGCCCCGGGCGCGGAGCGAGCGGATTGATTAGCTGTCTGCTTACTGCGCGTGAGGACAGGCTGGCCTCTCTCCCGTGGGTTCAGTGCCTTCTTGTCCCTGGGGGTGGAGATGCAGCAACAAGCCGGGAACGGAAAAGCTCAGCTGAGAGAATTAGGGTTCCAGTGACATTAAAATCTAAACTTAGAAAACAAAATGTCACTCTGATTTTTTTTTCCCATGTTGAAAGAATGCTGCAGTTCCTCTGCGCCAGTTAGTTCCCTGTTTAACCTTTCCAGAGTTCCCTCGCCCAGGTAAATTACTGCTGTAACACACCTTGTCTTCAGCTTTTGCTTTTCTTAACTTTTCCTCTCTCGGGCATCATTATTCCTCCAGGTCATTTTTTTCTGTTTGGAACCAGACCTTAGGAATTCTACCCAGGGCACCTTGGTTGGCTCAGCTGAGCTTCTGGCTGCTTCTGGCTGCAATAATTCTCTGAAGATATCGATCCTTTCTGGGGTCGATACTTCCCAGCCTTGTCTCTCCTGTGCTTCTCGGACTCTATGGTCTGATAGAGGTGACACTGTGAACCAAAATATTGGCCAACAGTCCCGCAGCTGCTCACACGGCGGGGCTAGGGCCATCGGAGAGGACACTTCGGGCTATCAGGTGTGAATGATGGACAGAAAACAAGGGACGGTGATTTCTCAACACGAGCAAAACCCGTAGGGGCCAAATGTTTTGTGGCATTTATTTGTCTCACTTCTGAAACTCTTGGACCAAGTCCCCGTCCAACTGGCTGAGAAAGACAGCCTAGCGCCAGCTCTGCACACGGGCCGCTCGGGGGTGGCAGAAGGACCGTGCTGGGAGCGGGTAGGAGACACAGGGCTCCTCTTCTTGCTGTCTTGGAAGAGTACACAGAGACAGCCCAGACTGAATGAGGTATGTTTCCTTGCCTCAGACAACCATAGATTCCATCTTTCCCATAATTTTACCTTTTAAACACGGTGTTCAAAATTTCAGAATTTAAAGATTTGGTTTTAGGTCTCCGCTTGCCACGCTTTGTCTTTCAGTTCTTTGCGATTGCGGGCCTTGGTGTCTGACTTTAATATGTGGAAATAAATATGTAAGGATTAATTGCAAGGAGGGCACGAAAACACATTGTAATATGCACGAGGCATTTCTAATATAAGGGGCTGCCAGATTCTTTATCTTGTCTTGAAACTGCATCCATGGGAAGGGCCAGTTTTATCAGTGTGTTAATGTAACCGACTAAACAAAGTTTCCTTGCATTTATCTGCTTCTCAAGCTGTTTGACTAGAAACTCATGTGAGCTTGGGCAGTGCCCGAGGTCTGGTGGTCCTAGCTACACAGGCCAAAGTCTCAACACAGAGGACTAATGCAAAGGGCTGGCCAAATAGCTCAGCGGATTAAAGCTCCTGCAAGCAGACGCAGGGGCTGGGGATTTGATCCCCAACCCTGCTGTGCCGGCCCCACCCCCGAGG